CAAGAATCGATTATTTAGCTTACTTTTAAATAGAGGAAATCCGGCGTTGTCAAATTGCTGGATCCGCCTCTGTCACAATGAACGGAGAGCGTGAACAATCTGATTAAAAATATACTTTGCGATTATATAAACACAAACAAACACAAACCTCCACTCTAAAATTAATCGTAATTGCAACACACCGACAAGGAGATCAATTATACGGCCGGACCGGATATGTCGAACGATAGGTTTATTTTTATAGCGAGTTGATTTTTTGTTTACCACCAGTATTTTTTAAACGAAGGTTACTGATGTGTCATTAGGCAGTATTGAGACGGCCCTGGAGAAGCCAAAACTAAGACACACTTAAGACCCTCCGTAGAACCTCTTCCTCTTCCATTGAAATCCCTCTGAGGATACATCAAGATTATCTCAAGATTGTCCAAGCAGGGCACCCTCGAATAAGGGGAAAATCATTTTGAGTCCAAATGGCTCAAAGCATGAACTTAAACGATAACTCCACTTAGATTTTGCTTAGCTCTCTTCAAATTTACTGAAATTTGTGTCAAAAATGTGTGCGTCTCTCACTTTTTTCAGTATCGAAATATGTTATCAACACTGTATCAGGGCAGTTTTTTTACAGATCTGGTATACTTATGAGGTCTCTTTGAACGCATAAAATTGTTGGTTGATGCTCATTTTGAACATTTAAAAGTTCCATTTTTGATATTTTCAGCAGAATTCAAGCAACTTTAATTGTTTTATGCTTTTAAAAAACTAAATGTTTTTAATTTATGCGACAGCAATAAACAATTCTCAATTAAAAAAGAAAAAACAGGACTAGATCACTAGATTTTGAGGGCAAATTGCCTTCATAAAGAGTTAATATTTACTATATTCAAGTGCCTTAAAATTGTGAGAAGACTGACGAATTCCTCGCGGAGGTTTCAATAAATTTGAAAAAAAAAAATAATTGCAAAATGTGTAATGGAGTTACCTGTGGAGTTCATACATTTGAGAGCAGCATTCATTGTGTCAAATTAATGAAATTTGTAAAGCAATGTGCTAAACTACAAATAAGAGGCCTTTGACAATTCAATAATATACCCCCTTGACAAATTAACAATGATTAAAGCTATACAAATCTTGCTGTCTCGTCAAAAGTCCACGCATAAGACGTTGACAATTTAAGAAATCAACATATAGGCGAGAAATCAATGTTTACGTTTGTGTTCTCATTACAAAGAGCTCAAACTTCCCATGCGCACTCGGGGAAAAACCGAAAATCAGCTTATGCGGTTGAAGACTACAATGTGCATTTGGCAAATAACCAATTTGGAATCAACGAAATTCCCTTCCTCCTTTGATACACAAGCTTATGAACTTATTACATAAAATCCGTTTTTACATCAGCGCTCCACAAAGGCGAATCCAGCAATTTGGCAACATCGGATTTCCTCAATTTAAACCTATGCTAAATAATCGATTCGTGTCAGAGCACCTGGCCCCTTCAAGAATCGATACATTTCCATAGGTTTAAATGGAGAGAAGACAATTTTGCCAATTTGCTGGATCTGCCGATGGTGCTCCATAACAACTAACCGACACTATCCCCTTTCGTTTCGAAGCCCCTCAGAGAGCCAACGATCCCTCATTTTTCGTTCAACCCCCTGTCACCGCCCTTCAAAGCAACCCCAAGTTTTATCCAATCAAGCCTTTTCTTTGACAGCCTTACCACCTATCTCGTTAACATGACCACGCCAGACTCCATGTCTGGTCTGGTTATGACCTCGAGTACGCGTGCTTATATGGGTTGAAAATCCTATGGGCTTATCAACTTATTGAGAGAAATCCACCACAATTAGAAAATCATATTTCCCTGGAGCAGACTAGATGACTAGAATCAGTATAAGTCCAATCTGGCTTAAGTCCTTTTGCGAGCATGAAGCTTGAATTAGCAAATCCGGAAGAATTTTTTCTCAGGAATGCGTCAAAGGAAGCCCGCCCGGCAAAATTACGTTGTGGCAACGTTGCCAAAACGTTGCAATTTCGCCGTTTACGTATTCGGGCAACGTTGTGGTAACGTTGCCACAACGTGTAATTCTGTCAGCTTGCATGAACGTAATTGGCAATGTGTCTGCAATGTGTTTTAGCAACATAATGGGAATGTTGCAAAAATACGTTTTAGCAACATAATGGGAATGTTGCAAAAATACGATGAAAAAATTTCGGTGATTTATTTAAGGAGTACTCAGCATTTTTACGCCTAGAATTCAATGTGGACCGCAAAGAAGTGTTTCATAGGCACCCGAGATTCACTCTAAGTCCGATAGTAGCCGCGCTCCGCCCGGGTTCCCAAGCGGGCTCCCATCGAAGTACTAACTACGCCCGACGTTGCTGAACTTCAGTGATCGCCCGTGTGTCGCTGCCACTCAGCTACGGACGCTCGCGTGAGAGAGATTGGTTATTTAGCATTAATAAACATCCCTAGATCTGGTTCAATGATAGAAAGCANCCAAACCACGTATCTCGGTTTGCGACGTCGCAGACTTCCTGTCATACTTTATTTTTTAAATGAAAAACTACTTAACGTCCAGTCTTGAAAATTTCTGTGATTTTTCCTCTTCGTGCGGAGAAAATTCTGTGAAAATTTCAAGGAATGATATTGATTTGGTCTATACTTCATAAAAATAAAATGCGAGCGTAGATTTTTAAACACCGCAAACGAGATACGTGGTTTGGTAGTTTCACCGTCGATATGTTATCAACACTGTATCAGGGCAGTTTTTTTATAGATCTGGTATACTTATGAGGTCTCTTTGAACGCATAAAATTGTTGGTTGATGCTCATTTTTAACATTTAAAAATTCCATCTTTGATATTTTCAGCAGAATTCAAGCAACTTTAATTGTTTTATGCTTTTAAAAAACTAAATGTTTTTAATTTATGCGACAACAATAAACAATTCTCAATTAAAAAAGAAAAAATAGGACTAGATCACCAGATTTTGAGGGCAAATTGCCTTCATAAAGAGTTAATATTTACTGTATTCAAGTGCCTTACAATTGTGAGAAGACTGACGAATTTCTCGCGGAGATTTCAATAAATTTGAAAAAAAAATAATTGCAAAATTTGTAATGGAGTTACCTGTGGAGTTCATACATTTAAGAGCAGCATTCATTTTGTCAAATTAATTAAATTTGTGAAGCAATATGCTAAACTATGAGACCTTCGAATTTTAATAATAGATCTCCTCGACAAATTATCAATAATTAAAGAAATGCAAATCTTGCTGTCTCGTCAAAATTCCACGCATAAGACGTTGACAATTTAAGAAATCAACATATAAGCGAGAAATAAATGTTTACGTTTGTGTTCTCAATACAAACAGCTCAAACTTCCCACGCGCACTCGGGGAAAAACCGAAAATCAACGGTTGCGGTTATATGCGGTTGAAGACTACAATGTGCATTTGGCAAATAACCAATTTGGAATCAACGAAATTCCCTTCCTCCTTTGATACACAAGCTTATGAACTTAAATGAAAGCCGCTTTGACGTCAGCGCTCCAAAGAGGCGGGTCCAGCAATTTGGCATCACCGGTTTTCCCCATTTAAACCTATGCTAAATAATCGATTCGTGTCAGAGCACCAGGCCCCTTCAAAAATCGATACATTTCCATCGGTTCAAATGGAGAAAAGGCAATTTTGCCAATTTGCCGGATCCGCCGATGGCGCTCCAAAACGACTAACCGACACTATCCCCTTTAATCCCGAAGCCCCTCAAAGAGCCAGCGCTCCCTCGTTTTTCGTTCAACCCCCTGTCACCGCCCTTCAAAGCAACCCCAAGTTTTATCCAATCAAACCTTTCTTTCCTTTGGCATTCTTGCAGCCTATCCCGTTAACATGACCACGCCAGACTCCATGTCTGGTCTGGTCATTACCTCAAGTACGCGTGCTTATATTGGTTGAAAATACTATGGGCTTGTAAACTAATTTAGAGAAATCCACCACAATTAGAAAATTATTTTGCCCTGGAGCAGACTAGAATCAGTACAAGCCCAATTTGACTTAAGTCCTATTGCGAGCATGAAGCTTGAATTAGCAAATCCGGAAGACTTTTTTCTCAGGAATGCGTCAAAGGAAGTGTTTCACAGGTCTCTCATATTCTATGAGACATTTCTCTGTAGTGACGTATATTGCGACGCATTTGGTATTGCCTACTAAAAAAATTGAAGAACCTTGAACTTCAAATAGGAAAAACTCTTAAAAACTGCTCACATTTTTAATTAGAAATCCTTTTTTGTTCATTTTACGCTATAAACGAATTTTGCATTTTTTTTCTTAGTTTTTTACACCTCTATTTTGGCACATTTTACGTACTTTTTGGTTTTGTGCGTCGCATATTTTACAATTTCCTCCACGTGTTGCACCAATTTAAATTATTTTTAGAATAGGGCAAAATGTCGATGCAATTTTTTTTCAGTGTTTTTAAAATTTTTTGCATCAATTTTACCTAAAAAAAGAACTAAATATCTATTTTTCCGAATTGGTTTTCCACGTTTTGACGTGAATCTTACAGACGTACGACTATCTTTTTTATTTGAAAATGATAAGGTGCTGGAGTTCGATTATTGATATCGAAGTTTGATTACTGATATGAAACTTTAATCTTACATATTTCGATCTTCGATGTATCGTTTAACATATTTTTATGGAGGAGTTCTTAACTTTTCATCTTCTCACCAATTTTCAACTTGCAACTTAGGGAAACGGGCGGATTAATTGCGAAAGACGCGCAAGTGGCAAGCTTTTTTTTAAATATGACATAAGTAACATACTTTTTATAGAAAAAGACGCAAGTCATTCTGAAAAATAATAAAAAAAAGTTAAATAAAAGTCGTAAAATAAACACTTTGGCTAAAAAGGCCGCAAATTTTTTAAAATCAAAATCAAACAATTAATGTCACCAGGGTGAGGGTGCCTATTGGCGGCAGCGAAACACAACACCATGACTCACCGGGAATAATCAGCTGAGAGGGAAGCATCCTGGGTCCTCGATCGAATCTTGGGAGCGCGCAGCACAGAGACAAAACAGCCACTGGAATCAAACTGGGCACGCGATTCGGAACTCGTGGTGAATCGGTGAGACATCGAATAGTTTCGGGGAAGGGAAGATGAGGCTAGACGACCGAGGTGACAGGATGCAACCGTGACGTAAACTTAGACAGCAGTCGCCGAGCCGCTGGTGTCGGGGGTGATCCCAGCTTTTGAGATAAATAATAACCACTTAACTCCAATGGGAATCCTATGTAGATATGCGGTTTGGACTACGGACGGTCGAAGACGCCGCGCCGCGCCGCGGCGGCAAGGCCGGTCAGCGCCCGGAGACCCCGAGTGATTTGGTTCGCGGTAGTAATGCACCTAATGAGTTATTCCCTGTAGATACAGCGCCACGATAAAATCGGGTCTTGCATCCAGCGTTGTCTGGTTGGGCTGTATATGGTTAAGGGGTGTTTTGTGTTATGAGGGCCGTATTCAAAATCGTTTTTCAGAACCGTGGTCATAGTCATTCTTTAGGACCGCCCTGGGGGAAAAAACACATTGGATCTAGAGTCTAGACTCTTAAAAACATCGACAAGAAAAAATACTCTTAATTCAATCGGATTTTTGCTTAAATCAATACAAAATTCGTTAAATTAAGAGGCTTGGTTCTTGATGTAAGCTAGAATCCGATTGAATCAAGAGTATTTTTTCTTGTCAATGTTTTCAAGAGTCTGGACTCTAGATCGAATGTGTTTTTTTCCAGTGGGTATTCGAAGTTGTTCTTTAAATCGTTGTTTTCCTGATAAAGGCTCTTAACGGTTTATATTGTCATTGAGCGAGCTTTAGGGACGCTTTTGTCCTTGCACAAGTGGATTTAGGCACTTCAAACCAAGGGGCGGTGGGGAAGGGGGAGAAGGAATGTCAAGGGGGGGCTTTCGCCAAAAACTTTTCGAAATTTCAAAGCATCTAACATGCAGTTTGAGTCAATTTCCTCATGAATCATTACCAAAAAGCGTCCTTCCTTCTTCTTACCTCTCATACCCCTTCTTTCTTTCTTCCCATTTTCTTCTTCCTCTTTTTCAAGTAAGCTGAGTGGGCGCACGCAACCAACACCTCCCTCCCACACCCCTGGATCCGCCTAGGTATCCTAGCGTCATAAAAAGGATACTTATGACGAAACTGCGTAAAATTTGACAGTGTTACTTAGAAAATTGATTTTTCCAGTGGATGAAAATGATTTGCCGCTGTAAACTATAAATCGTGCAAAAGGAAGGATTCAATAATTTTGACTAACTTTGGGGTGGATTGGAGCCTACCTTAAAATTTGCAAAATCTAAATTAAATTTTACCGAAAGTGAATGTATATTTTCCTCTCTACCGACTTCTCGCGCCCTCTATGAATCACCATAGTGAAAAAAGATGTGAAATTCGTGTCTGATTTGAAATTAGGCAGCCTTAGACTTAAAATAGGAATGTTGATCCCAACTACATTTAATTATTCCGGTATGTGACTCATATCATTTTTTAAAAAATGTTGGCCCTTAATCATGAATTTCCAAGATTTTTATCAAAAAAACAGTTACTTGATTTCCCTCTAAAAATCGTAGCAAAATGGTTTTAAACAGGAAAAAATTGCTGAATTCAAAGGGCATTATGCCGGGAATGCAGCACGGTGCCTTGATCTATAAGGTATTTTATCGACAAAAGGTTCGATATTGATAGAAACACTTGGATGCAACGATTCCTGCACAGAGGATGTCCATTTCTCATCTGCCAAAAACTGGAGGCGTGTGGACTTTTTCAATGACAACGCTGGAATGCAACTATTCCTACTTGCGGGATGTCAGTGTTGCCTATGCACAATATTGAAGGCACTCACTTTTTAGACGGTAGCTCGTAATGGTTCGAAATGCACACTTGCAAATGTACTATCTTTGTGTTTTTCACAACAGTTTTTCTTGAATTTAAAATCGGCTGGAGTGGCAGCTTGGGGGGTGTCCGAGAGAGACTTTAACGCATGGTCAGAAAAAAGGGTCATTGGATTCGCCTCTTGCAAACGATGTTAAATTGTCTCATAAATGTAATTTTATGTGTGATTAAAATAATTTTCAACTAAAAAATGTTTAAAAGTAAGATGCAAACAACGACACACGCATCAGAAAGGTTTTGCAGATTTAAATTACTTTCTGGTTATCATACTTAACCCTGAGTTGGAAAAATTAGGGCCTTTTCCCGTAACCTTATACTTTATTTCCTACTTTAAAACATCCAATTCCGGAAATGGGCCTCATTAATAGTATATGCAGATATATTATTTTACTAACATTAAGTCGGCACATGATACCACCTAACCTCCTTCAGTATAACAGTGAAAGCGCGTGCATGCTCTATTTAGCACGCCCAGACTATAAGTGCACATTCACCCAAAAAAAAAAAAAAAAATGGGATTGGAAATCAGTGACATGATGAAAGATGACACTTAAAATTCATCGAAAATTTTCCATCCGGTCTAAATTTTTCTTTCCCATTACTCCTTTCTGTCGAACCCTAAAAAAAGGAAAAAGTAAAAACATTTACAGTCATTCAGTATAATATGATCGCGTTCCTGCAAAAAAGTTTCACGTGAAAATTAATCAAATCAAAAGGAACAACGAACATAGGGTTCGGATGCTACATACTTCAATTTGATTCCGTCTATATTTGCACTTCGATCACTTCAGCGTATACGTTCAAAGGATAAAATCAACCCATGCCATATGGATTGCATTCTGCAAGAAGGAACCGGAAGCATTGCACTCATGCTAAGACTGTGCAACTTCATACTTCGCAATAAAATTACTGATATCGTGAGAAAATATGAAGTTTACGTGGTAAGTTTTGTCTCAAATTCACATTTTTTAGCGAGTAAATTAGAGTCTGTTAATGGATAATCGGGTTTTTCTTCCAAGACAAAAGAAGTTGCACAATCTTAGAAACATTGCAATGCTCCTGGTTCCTTTTTGCAAAACGCAATCCATATAGGAGTTGCAACAAGACCAGTGGCGTGGTTGATATATCGGTTGATCTGCCATTTAAACCTAGGAAAAGAATCGATAGTCAGGGTGTTCGCACTGACCACCTTAATAATCGATTCTTTATCATAGCTTCTAATGGGGGAATATCGATAATCGATCATTCACGCATCGCCACTGACCATTGTATTCCAATGCATCAAAAGGACGCATCGACACCCTTATAAGAGGAATAGCGAGATGCGCACATCGCACCAAAAAAATCAATATACAAGTGAAATTCGGCAACAAGCAACCCTGACTGACTTTTTGGCGCGACAGGCGCGACACCCGCTGTACTTTTTTCTGGAAGCCGGTGATGCAAAGACACCGGCAGGAAATTACTGGAGACACCGATGCTGGGACCGCTGCCGGGTTACGGATTGGAGCCGTAAGTGCCTCTCTGTATGAGCCATGGTCAGCATACGCTCTTACGGGTCTCGAGGCGCATCCCAGACTCCACTGCGGCTCCGTGACTCCGCCGACGGCTGGCGTCGCGGAGCAACCCCTACCATTGGGGAGACGGCCGGTCGCGACAATATTAAAACCCCATTACACCCCAAATTAAAAATCTCAAGCTCCTCTCTAAGTTCTCCTCTGTTTTATTCGACGCATAGCGGTAATCACCCTCAGATTCGCACCCGCAGTCATGGCAGTGTCACCGTGATTTGTTTGACTAGTGTTTTTTTTTCTTAAAATTTTCAAGTCGTGGTACTAGTCAAACGTCGGTCTCATCCATCGTGATATTTGTGATATTCTCCGATCCTTATTGGCTTCTTATTTTTTTGCCTATAAACTCGGTTTTTTGTAGCTTTTAAAGTTTACTGATAATTATTATTACCTAGTGTAAAATGGCAGTTCTGCAGATTTTTATGGGTAAGTGTTATTTTCACTCTTTTCTTCAAAGAACAAAAATAAAATCATTTTTTATGTTCAAGTAGCAAAATTTCAAAAGTTCTCGGAAAAGTGCGATTCTTTTCTGAAAACATTCAATATTTTTCTCACAATCAGTCTTTTTTCAAAAAATATGATTTGTTCCTTTAGAAAAACTGAAATTTTTTGCTCAAAATTATTATTGTTCTTAATAATTTTTCTTGTTAGTGCATAAATATTAATTTTTGAATTTGGACTTAATTATTCAATATGGAACTGCTATTTCTGGTTTAATTTTAGTTCAGAAACAAAGTATGTGCTATTAGTTTCTTTATGCGTATAGTTTTATGCAAGTATGAGCCAAAAAAAGTAGTTCCTTATTACAAAGTTAAGTCCATTTTTTCCTACACAAGGAGATGTTTGAAATAAACCACAAAAAAACTCTGGGCCCTCACACTAAAACTAAAACTGAAAATTTTATTATATATGTACAATTTAATAGCTTGCAGAAAATTCTGCTGAATTTAAATTTCGTGTGTTCCGAATTAAATCATCATTAATTTTTCAATCCTTGGTCAAACTCTCTATTTCTGAATAGTTGTCTTTTTTAAAGTTCATTGGTTTTACAGACAGAAGTTTCTTTTCCAAGTAATGGTATCGCTATAAGTTACCTAAACTGTAGAGACATTTTTTTTTCTTTCTTTTTCTTTTTTGTATGAAAGAAGGAAGGGGAACATATTTCGTCGCCTCTCTGACGTGAGGGCGTATCTCGATTCTCACGTGAGCTTTGTTTTACATATATATGCATGCTCTCTGGGGCTCATGCAAAAATCAAGATGCGTCCTTACGTCAGAGAAGCGACGATTTAATAACACTAAAAATTTGAGTTGTTTTGATGCAGATTTTAGAAAAGAATGTTTCGCCTAAATATTTTCTCCCTGTTATTCCAACGTTTTGTATACATACAGTAAACTTTCCAATAAGGGCGCTGACCGATCAATATTCTTCAAAAAAGTTAATAAATTGAAATTGAAGGTGCGCGATACATTTGAATTTAAATGGAAAAATTTCAATCTCAAAGTTGTTGGATTACCTATTCTCAATCTTACGTTTTTGAACTGCATGCAAACTCCAAAC